AGCCAAATCGTCTACTTTTTGTCGAAAATTTTGAAGAAGACTGGCTGAGCAAAAAACACCTAGAGAGAGACCACTTGCACCCAAGGAAAGTAATTATATTCTTGTAAAGACTCAACCACTTCTTAACCTTCTTCCAAGAAAGAGGTGGGCACCTATACTTTCTTTTCGGTAAGTGATAAACTATGGGCTTGTCGGCAAGTAACGTATGAGAACTACTTCTAAATGACAAGTGCCATGCAAGCAGTGAGTGATAAACTCTGAAAAAGTTAGCAGGTAGCGTATGAGAACTACACTAAATAACAACTGCCGACTTATAGCTAGTAGCATGCCTCCATTTTTTACTAAGCACTATTGTGTTTTTTACAAAAAATGTGTTTAGATTTTTGGTACAGATGATTATCGGAAAGAGTAAACTTGTTTGGCCATAAAATTGTTTTAAAATTATTATAAAATTATTATAAGATTATATTATTTTAAAATAAAATTATTATAAGATTATTATAATTATAAGATAGGAGTTGTCTTGGTGCCACCTGGGGTGGTATTTAATTTATTACCACCCCATATAACCAGCCAATCAAATTATAGTTAAATTCATTGGCTAACATATATATAACTATTGGCCAATCAAATTATAGTAATTTAAGCAGTTTTTGTATACAGTATACTTTCCAATTGCACCCCTTATAAATTAAAAAAATTTTTTGAGCGAAGATATCTTGACAACCACCAAGTAAAGTTTGATGACTTTTTTTTTATTGAATTCTACAGATATGCAAAATTCAAATTAAAAAAATTTTATTGAATTTGACTTGGTTGTTTTCGAGATATCTTTGCTCAAAGTTTATTTAAAATGTTATTAAAATAAAAGCTACGCCAAATTTTTTTCAAACTTAAAGAGAATATATCTCGACAACCACAAAGTCAAATTTGATAAACTTTTTTATTTGAATTCTACAGATTCACAGAATTCAAATAAAAAAAAGTTCATTGAATTTGACTTGGTGGTTGTCGAGATATCTTCGCTCAAATTCAAGAAAAATTTGGCGAACTTTTATTTTGATAGATATTTGAATTTTCTCAAACTTTGAGCGAAGATATCTTGACAACCACCAAGTCAAATTAAATGAATTTCTTTTATTTGGATTCTTCAGATTTGTAAATTCAAATAAAAATATTTCATCAAATTTGACTTGGTGGTTGTCAAGATATCTTCACTCAAAATTTGAGAAAAATTTGGCATAACTTTTATTTTGATAAACGTTTTGGATTTTTCAAACTATAAGCAAAGATATCTCAACAACAGCCAAGTCAAATTCAATGAATTTCTTTATTTAGATTCTTCAGATTTGTAAATTCAAATAAAAAAATCTCATCGAATTTGACTTGGTAGTTGTCAAAATATCTTCGCCCAACTTTAAAAATTAAGAAAATTTTTAATTTAGAGGTACAAATAAGACTGCTATAACTTATTATATACTGTATTACTATATCAGATATATGTAGCAAATTTGCTTTTTATTCGCACATTAATTATAATCTATTTTCTTTTAGTTATAGCTACTTTTATTATTAAACATCAGTGCCTCTATTTATTTATTTGCTATTTGACTCAACTAATATCTATCTACATATCTAATGCTGTATGAAATGCTAAATTAACATGCTAATAAAGCTTTATTATTAACATAATAAATTAAGCTGTTACAATAAAATAAAGCCCTTTGAAAATCAAAATTTACATTAAATATAATCGTATTACTTATCTGTATATTTTAGTGTAACAAATATAGTAATAGTGATAAATAGCTCTTCTAAATAAAGCTCGAATCTTTCTGATTATTTGCACGGTGAATGTTTGTGTTCTTACGAAGCTAAAGACAAAAAAATTGTATTTTTTTGTTAGTAAAACATTATGTTCTCAAAAAGTACTTTAGAGTGTATAAATAAGTTACCTAGGCAATTAATTTATATTAGCCTATCAGACGAAAGTCTTATATTTTCGTTGAGATATAATTTTTAAAAACATAACAGAAATGTTTGAAGACTAACAATCGGTAAGGCATTATAGATTTGATACGACTAGATGATTGATCCTATTGTAATTCTAGCGAATAAAGAAAAATTGGTTAAAGCAAATTGTTAGCTTCAATTCATTAAAAATAATTCTGCCACTAGTTCAGAAAATGAATGAATAAAATACAGGCCAAATTAGGATTAAATTTTCAAGTAAATTCTAAAGTAGGGGTTGGACCCGGGTAGAAATTGTTGATATATGATCATAATAAATTACCCGGATAACCCGGGTAATTTAATAATACCCGGGTAGGGATTTTCTCAACGGGTCCAACCCTATTCTAAAGGTGTTCACAAGCACTTCACTTGAAAAATCAGAGACAAATTTTAATTAGTCTGATTGAATAAACCAACAAAGTGAGGCATCATTTCAATGAATAAATTTGGAGGTGCAAATCTTTTTTTTTTCTTCAGAGTTGAATTTGTATTTTGCATAATAAATTTTTAGCAAATGCTTTTCGTTTAACCGCATTAATCATTCAACTAATCGCAATGATTTGAGCAATGCTTCGATTACTAGCTAATCACGTTGAGAAAGCTGTTTGAGAACACCCTAAGCTGATAAATTTATCAGCTTAATCATAACTAATAAATAATGACTAGAAATGAATCTTGTGTGAAAGTAACCCTTAAAATTTAGATTATAGAAATTAAGAACAGTTCTCTTAATGTGATTTGCTAGTAACCCAAGTGTTGATTAGTTATTTGATATTGAAATGGCTCTTATCAAAAATTCGGTGGGTGAAAATACAGATTTTAAAAAGAGTTGTAAGGTCCAAGTTTCTTTGACTTATATAAGAGGAGATGCTTGAAAACAGCCTAAATAGATTTATAGCTTATTAGCTAAATTGACCGAATTAAAATAAGTTGTTAAGAATCTAAAATTATTAATACCTTTAAGTACTCCAGCGTATTATATCTGGGTGCCACCAAGAGAAACTATACTTCAGGATTTAACCCTTAAAAAATCAAATAAACTGAATCTAGTTTTAAAAAGTGTGGTTTTTCCTGGTAGCCACTCATTTGTATAATATCCAATAAAATTTTTGAAAAACTAGTTTATGTACTAGTATGTACATACGTACATGAGATAAAATTAACGTGATATAGGTAAATATTCATAAACCTGAATATAAATGCACAACCTAAACTAATGTGAATATAATGAAATTAGATGTGAGGTATTGTGTATTCATAAACATATTAACACTTTTATACTTATCTATTAAATTGGACGAATAAATGAAATTTAACATATTAACTATGTCAATAAAGATTGAACGCTGTAGTAGTCTTATAAATGGGAATAACTTGGAGCTAAATTTGATCCTAAATTTAACTTCTAGTCGGGACTTAATACAATTAAGAAATTTTTGCACGATGAACTAGTGTGAATAAAATTATCTGAAAAGTGCTTATAATCTGAATTGTTAAATTAATTTATTTACAAAATTTGATACAAATGAATTATCTAGATAATATTGATAGTAAGTACTTTTAAACTTGACTAATAACTTAAATAGCTTAATAAAGATTTACACTTACCAAAAAAAAGAATGAATTATCTAGGATATTGGTTAGGATTTATGAGTTTCTAGTCTAACTTTAAGTAGATATTATTTCCAAGTGAAATTATCATAAATTTTGATTTTTAATAAATGGATAAATGATTTTGTACCCAAATTTAAATAATCTGGAAGGTATAATTTAATGTAAGTATTTATGAATTTGAACTACTACTTTTAAATATTCAGATTAATAAGTGTTCTTTATACTTACCGAGTTTGATGTAAGCTATCTAACAAATCGAATACTATGGTAATTAAAAATAGATAATAAATTATCTTATACTACCAACCAAAAATAAAATGATTTTTTAATAAGTAGAAATCCAATAACTGACCTTAAATCAATTAATAACCTTTACACTTACAAGATTCAATGCAAATGAAAAATATTTAGAAGATATATTAGTAATAAGTATTTAAAAACTTGAATGACTGATTTTAAAAAGGTTAATAAAAAATCTTTATACTTACTTAACAAAAGTACACGAAAGAAATTATCTGAAAAGTAATATACTTGAATTTGACTTTAAATAAATCGACAATTGTTACACTGCTTAATCTGTGATATATTTATATTCTAATTTCAAATTACATGATACTGATTTTGTACGTATATAAATTTTTCACATAGCTATTCTAAATGAATAAATTTCTAATACTATTGCTATTTTCCAGTAAATTCTATAAACTTCGTATTAGCCAAGATTTGTTAATATTAAAAGCCCAAATTTGTAATATATGTATCATGTAAATTATCTTGTAAAATTTTGTCCACTATGTAAATAAGTTTTTAAAAATTAATTATTCAAAGATCAATGCAATTAATACAATAAAACTAATTTATTACTTACTCATACTACCAAATAAAACTTGTAACTAAAAGAATTGATATATCTAAAATAAAGATACAATTGTTAGAAGAATTATTCTTTAGTATTTCATAACATTTTTGAAATAGGAAGATTTAAAACTGATATTATAATGTCATATAATCAACTTAGATACCGTAAAATTCTAATCAGAATAACTACACCTTATGTAAGTATGGCCTTCTTTTTTATATAACTTACATGGAGCTGTGCATCACCGAATATTATGGCTAGTTTTACTACAATTGCTATATGTGTTTGACTCCTTACTATTATTATTTTTATTTTGAAAACTAGACTCCTCATCATTATTTTGAATAAATGTGCTTAAGTTTTTATTTTTATTAGAGCTTTTATTGGTTTCAACAGAACTCTTAAATCTTTTATTTTGTGGTCTTCCTCTTGATTTAACTATATATGGATTAAGAATTGTATTCGAACTTGATTCATTTGTATTTTCATTTATTTTATGTAATTCTTCTAAAATTTAATTGAAGACTTCTAATACATCAAATTGTTGTTTTTCAGTAGCAACTTGAGCTATTTTACAGCCAAGTTCAAATAAATCACTATATAAATAACATGCTGTAATTTTTAAATTAATATCATCCATTGAGCCCTTATTTCTAAGTATATCAAGAACTGTTAGTGATTGTGATATATCAATATATGAAAAGTTTCCGTTAATATTCATAAATACTTGTTCTACACATATAAGACTAGATTTAGCTTCAGAATTATCATTATCAGATTGATTTTCTAATTTAAACCATCGCTTTCTAATTAAAGAAATATTAAATTGTGTCTCTGTACTACGAATCATAACCTGAAAAAAGTGCCGACACACTAGTTCACAATCTAAAATCAACAAACAAGTACAAATATGCTCTTGGTCAAGTAAAAGAATTACAAAATGAGGTGTTGAATTCGGGCTATGTGTAAGATATGTAACACGCCACACTTTACAAATATTTTCTGTTAATTTTATTAACAAGAGATTTCAATGAAATTTGTGCTCTATCAGCTTGATCATTTATATCTTGACTATTTTCTTGTTCGATATCCTAATATTTAATTAAAATTAAGAATTGTAATGTATAATAAAGTATTTGTTTAAACTTTTTTTATAAACTTACTGTAATATTTTCTAATTCTTCTTGTGAAATTAAAATAGCATTATACTTTAAGCTTATATCAAGCTGTGCTTTTTGAATAAGATACAATTCCGATGTAAGATATTTTTTTAATTCTTCAATTATACATGGAAAAATTCATTGTGATGCAGACGTTGTTGTATATGTATAAGGTAATGACTCCATCCAATCATAATATTCAGATTTAGTAGTTTGATTGTGGAAAAAAGTTTGAATGCCTTGAAAAAAATCAACTAAACTGCTTTGCGAATTTATATATTTTTTATAATACCATTGATATCCTCTACACGTTGAATTGATACCATACCTGCAGTAAAAAACTGTTGATAAATAAATAAAATATTTAGAATAATTTAATACAATAATGTATAGGTATATAGTATAATATTATAACTTACTGTGCAAATAAATGTTTTTGTCCATGATTCTTTAATTTTATCTAGCATTTCCATTAAATAGCTATTGGTAAAAGGAAATAATTCAATTAATTGATTCCACCTAGCTTTAAAAATAACTTCATTTAAACTATTATAAGCTAAATAAAATTTAGCTAAAAATTCATTATAATTTTTGCCTAAAAAACTTTGAATATGCCGATCCAAATTTTGTCGAATATGAAATATATAGTGAATATGTTTTATAGTAGATAAAAAGGTTTTTACTGCTGCATCAAGTCCTGTATCTGCATTGCTTATAAGAACTGTTGGTAAAATTTTATCATTTGCATTTAATAATTGTTCAAAAACTTATGTATAAGATGTTGATGTTTCATCGGATAATAATGCTTGTGCAAAAACTTGTGAATGATTTCGATTATCAACACCAACAAACAAACAAAGAGCCATTGAATACTTATTTGTTCTCAAAGTATTATCTGTTACAATAACATCATGATATCGCTGATATAAATCATGCTGATTTGAATTCATCTAAAAAATATAAAATAATCTCCCATTATTGATTTTTTTAGCGATGTATAATCCAGTATCTTCATTTTGCTGATTTTCAAGCATATTAAGTAAAAAAAATGCATTATTGTCTGGATTATTAGCCTTATTACAGTATTACAAGTATTGTCTTGTTTAAAATGTTGAATTGCATTTACTATATCTCTTTCTAGAAAAGTTTGTTGAGAAATTCAGCAATTAAAAGATTTCGAATTGTAAAACTACCTATTCCAGGTGAATTATTAATATAAAAACTAATTCGATCTAATACTGGTTCTGGCAAGCTACGGTATAATGGTGCAAATTTTGCTGTTACAAGATTAAGAGTATGATTTGCATGTTTTGGTTCAAATGTTGTTACACGTAGATTTGAATCAGTTTTTGACCAACAAATATTAATATAACATGTGCAATTAACTCATGAAGATTTTTTTGCTTGACTTGATTGTGGCTTGCCTGCATGATGACATTCAAATACTTTTTTGCTAATACTTTTATCAACTTGATAATAAGTATTTTGTAACCTTCAGATAAATCCTTTTATTTTAGCATAAGCATATAATACTTGATTTACATGTTTCCAATTTTCAAACTTATAGCCAATTGTTAATTTTTCTGCTTGTTTTTTTTAAATTTTCACTAATTTGAAGTTCTTGTAAAGCTTTTTGACAATCTTTTCTTGAAATAACAGACTTGGATTTTTCAGTACTTTTGGTACTATTGCTATGATTTAAATTTAATTTAGAGCTACTTATTGTTTTTTAAATTAAAACAAATTATACGATCTATAATTTTATATATTAATTTGATTTTTAATTTGATTGGCTAATCAATAAGGGTGGCAAAAAAATTATATGCTACTTGGAGTGGCACAAAGACTTTTCCTAAAAGATAATTATAAAATAAAATACAATTTTAATAATTGTATTAATATTTTTAATTTTAGAGTAAATCTATTTGTAACCGGCGGTAACAGTCCTATGCCAATAGGATTGCAAGATCAGGTGTAACGTTACACCTGATCATGTAATGTGAAAATGAAGCAAAAAATTTTATTTTTCAAAAAAATCGTAATAACTAAAAATTACGTCTATAAAACTACCTTTTGATTTTTAACAAAAAGAATTCCTTGTAAAATTTTACTATAAAAACACTATCAACTCTAACCCTAACCTTAACTGCACCCTAACCCTAATGATAACAAATTTGCACGTATTTGTTTTTGTTTTGATCATACATTACACAGGGGAGTGTCACCGCCGGTTACAAGTACATTTTTTCTTAATTTTATTGAAAAAAATAGCTAGTTTTTATAAAGTATATATATTATTTGAGAATTTCTATTTGTATACATAGTGTATATATATGGGTATAAAAAACCTAACTATTGTTTCAAAATTTTGATTAGGAAACTACCTTTTGGCTTCTAACAAAAAAATTTCTTTGCAAAATTTTGGTATAAACTACTCTTACCCCAATCCCAAACTTATCCTTACTCTAACTATAAGCAAGGGTTTAATTTTCTTTCGTAAAAATTGTTTTGATTGGCATGTTATACAAGTTTGTAAATCAATAAATTAGTATCTGTATATAAATACTACATGTAAATTAATAAATTTTCATATTATTTTTAATATAATAAAATTATTTTATCAAAAAAAATCATACTTTTATTTAAAACATACTAGAATTTATAGTACTAAATGGCTTTTTATATTAATAAGTATTTAGATTATATTTATATATTTTAATAATTAAAAACTTTTTAACTATTAATGAAATTGTTGAATTATTTAGAAATATTTAATTAAGTAGCCTTATTAAATTTATTTATAATTTGTTACTATTAATATACAAATTCTTGTTTTGACTCTTGATTTTTTTAAATAAAAAACAAATCTGTATTTTCTTTTATTAAAGCCTGTTTATATTAACTTGGCCAATTTTTAAATAATAACAAAAAATTAAACTAATTTGAATACTTTGATTAGAACAGTATTATTTATCACTTGTTTTTTTTTATTAGAGATATACTTTTTCTTCTTTTTTTTTAATATATATCTAATCAGGTTTTTATATATAATTAACTTTTTGAATTTTCTTTAATATAGCTAGGCAATATAAAATTATAATATAAAAAAACTCTAACTCTAACTCTAATCTAACTTTAATATAAACTATAAACCTCATCTAATGCTTGGCGCAATCAAACAAAAATTTATAATCAAATACTTGTAATTAAGTCGGATATCAAAAAATTGCAGATTAATCAATACTATAGATATATATAGAGAACCAGTATTTCCACACCCCTTTTTTGTAGTTTCACACTCTATGTAAATTACTTATTTTTAAAACTTTTATCAAAGATATCTTGACAACCCACTAAGTGAAATTCAATAAACTTTTTTCTTTGAATTCTATATATTCATAATATTTATATAAAAAAAAAATTCATTGAATTTTATTAGGTAGTTGTTGAGATATTTTCAATTAAAGTTATACATAAATTTGTTACAATTAATATTTAATAAATATTAAAATTTTTCTAAAACTTTCATCGAAGCTATCTTGACAACTATCTAATAAAATTCAATGAATTTTTTTATCTAAATTCTATGAATCTATAGAATTTAAATAAAAAAAGTTCATCTAATTTTATTGAGAGTTTGTTGAGATACTTTTGATCAAAGTCATATACAAATTTGCCATGGCTTGTATTGTTTAAAAATAGATATCTCAACAACTACTTAGTAAATTCAATAAAATTTTTTAACTTGAATTTTATGGATTTACAGAATTCAAATAAAAATTTTTTACCAAATTTCATTAGGTGGTTGTCAAGATAGCTTCAATGAAAGTTTTAAAAAATTTCAAATGTTTATTAAGTATGACTTTGATCAAAAGTATCTCAACAACTATCTAATAAAATCTAATATTTTTTTTTTATTTGAATATTATGAATTAATAGAAATCAAAGAAAAAAATTCATCAAATTTCACTTAGTAGTTGTCAAGATATCTTTAATAAAAGCTTTAAAAATAAGTGATCTATATAGGGTGTGGAACTATCAAAAAAGAGGTGTAGAAATACCAGTTCTCTCTATATATAGGATAAAGTCAATAGAAATCAAATTTGCTTGAAATTTTTTTATTTTAATTTTGAAATTATAAAGAATTAAAATAAAAAATCTTTAAATTTGGTAAGATAATTGCTAAGATATTTAAGCTTAAAGTCAAGAAAACTTTTATTTGAAAAAAATTTGTCCCTTTTCTATTGACTCTACTACATATATAAACATATATATATAGTATTTGATTATTTGATATTCAACTTAATTATAAGTATTTAACTATTAAATTTTTGTTTAATTGTACTAAACACTAACCTCACTCTAACTTTAACTATTTTCAAATTTGTTTAAATAGTTTTTTTTTTTTTTAATATTAATGGTGAGACCTTGCTCTTATTTTTATTAAATTTAATTAAAATTTTAGAAAAAATTTTATTGTATAAACCAAATAAAAACTTAGACTAACTAAAAATACCTAGTAGACAAGCCTAGTTTTTTATCTGTGGTCTAAACCAACCAGAGTGGCCAAGACTCATCTAGATTTAAATAGTTATTTATTTATATTATAATCTATAATAATTCTATATTGCCAAGTTATACTAAAGATTAACCAACTTTTTTTACTTCTCTCTTTTCTAAAAAATCACTTGAAATCTATCTACTAGTTTAATTCAAAAAAATAGAGTATATATATTAATTAAAATTTAGCAAGAATTGAGTTTAACAACTTGCAAAAATTTTGAAGTAAAATAGTTTACTTATTATTTGAGTTGTGTGAAATCACTAATAATGGTTGCCTGTATCTTCTTGCTCTGTTAAAAAAAGCTTTTTTAATTATAATTAAATTTTAGCAGATAATATACAGAATCTAAGTAAAGAGTTATTAAAAATATTAAATATGATATATTTTAATAATTTAAAAGAACAATAGTAAATATTTAAATTTAGTAATTAAGGTGTTGTTGCTAACTATAAAATTCTATTTTTTATTTTTATTTTATTTACTTCACATTTATATATTTTTATTTATATTTTTAATATAAATAAATAAGAAATAAATTAGTCTGTTTAGTTAGATATAGTTTTTTAAAATAAATAAAAAAATACTTTTTTGTTAATAATTAGTTTTTTACTTAAGTACAGTATTAAATTAATAATGATAAACAGAATAATTTTTTAGTTGAGTGCAGTATTAAATTAACAATGATAGATAGATTAATTTTTAGTTGAGCATAGTATTTAAAAAATAGCAAATTTTTTTTTTATGGAAGAAATTTTTTTTAAATATTATTAAATTGCATCTTTAATTTTTAATTATCAGTAAATTAAATGTTTTATATATGGGGCCTCTCATAGTAAAAGAAGGGAATAGGCCAAAAAATTTTTTTTTAAAAAAATTCTATATCTGGAAGAATTAGATTAATTAGAATAAAATTATTATAAAATTAAAACATCTGATTTTTTGGCCTATCTTCTCCTTTTGCTATGGGAGGTCCTATATACTATATGCATTATTTACAAATTCTTATCATATTAATTCTGTGTTCTTGCTATGAAATTAACTTGTTTTTAAATTAATTGTCTATAAAATAAACTCAGTAAGTTGATCAGAACTGATTTATTATTTATTATATATTAAAAATTTAGAGATTCTTACAAAAATATAAACCTATTAAATTAATTATTGAATATTTATTTTTATTCATATTTATTTACTTAAAGTATTCATTTTATCTGAATTAATTCAAGAAGATTCTAATTTGTTAAATTTGTAAATATGTATTCTTGAACAAATTAACTTTATTTTGTTTACACATTATTAATTTTATATTAATTTAGATTTTATGTTAAAATAATGTTTATAAGTAAAAAACAATTTATTAATTGAGGTATTTGAATAAATTATTCA